TTTCTTTGTGCAGAGAGAATAGTGCAGTCAATATTAAAATGTCCTATTTTTTTACGATTTGGTCCAATTTCCGAACAAAATAAAGAAAATTAAAATTAAATTTTTTATTTGTGATATATGAGTTTTACTAAACAACCCATCAACTATTCATTATATGTAGTTCAGATTAGATAATAATAATAAAAGGCTTAGCGAACCCGAAGGTTCGATGCCGACACCACCAATCGCTTATTACACACCTCCCTCCACCGTTCGCCATCCAAACCCAGTCCCTTCAGATCGGTTATAATGCAATCTTCCCACCTTCACTTCGGTCTACCCCTCGGACGCTTACCATTCGGCACAGCAAATATTAACCTTTTCGGAATTCTCTCATTACTAAGCCCAACAACTTTACAAGCCCATTTGATTCGCCGGGATGAAATCACCTCAATTATATTACTTGGATACAGTTCACGCGATTCGGCGTTGTGTAACCGTCTGAACTCTCCGGTTAACTCATCCTTCTTCGGTCCGAATATTCTACGCAATACTTTATTTTCAAAAACCTTAAGACGTTACTCATCCCTTAATGTGAGCGGCCAAGTTTCGCATCCATAAAGAACTGTAGGCAAGATAATTGTTTTATAGATTCTCATTTTTAAGTTCCGGGACAAGAGGCGCAAACTAAGTAGTTTTGTCACAGAAAAATAACAAGCATTTCCCGCCTTCAGTCTAACCATAATCTCTTCTTCAATTTTGTTTTTTCTAGTTATCGTAGAACCTAGATACCTAAATTTATCTACCTGTTCAAACATATTACCATCTATATCGATATCACCAGTAGTATCGCCATTTTTGCAGCTAACCATATATTTTGTTTTATCCACGTTTATTTTGAGTCCTAGTTTTTTACTGCCTTTCATTGACGTTGTGGTATTTAGTTTTATAGTTTCAACGTCTTAGCTTAACAGTACCAGAGATCATCAGCATAGCCCAGGACGGATGTTGTCCCACCCAGACCCAACCCTTTCTCAGTACACATTACCTCCCTTGTGGCATGTTCTAATGCCAAATTGAACAGGACAGGCGAAAGGGAATCCCCATGTTTTAAAACCGAACAAACCTCAAATTTTTCGGACAGATTATAACCGATTCTAACTTTATTGAGTGTCTCCGTCAGGCACATCCTAATTTACTAGTTTTTTTGGAATCCTCTGCTCGATTAGAATATTATACAGTTTCTGACGGTCAATAGAATCCTAAGCCTTTTTAAAATCTATATATAGCTGGTGAACAATACCGTTGTACTCCAATTTTTTCTCTAATATTTGCCATAAAGAAAATATTTGATCAATAGTCGAACGATTCCGTCTAAATCCGCATTGGTAGTCTCCGATAATTTCCTCGGTGTATTCCGTGATTCGACTGGTTAAGATTAAGTGAATATTTCATAACATACCGGAAGGAGTGAAATTCCTCGATAGTTATTACAATCCGTCCTCGGACCCTTTTTGTGAATCGGAATAAGAATAGATTCTTTCCATTCTTCAGGTAATTTCTCATTCACCCAGATCTTTTTAACCAACCGATGTATTTTAGAAACTCCAGCTTCCCCACATGCCTTAATTAGTTCAGTAGGAACATTATCGGTTCCCGCTGCTTTATAAGATTTTAATTTTCCGATAGCTACTTCAACTTCCTCTTTACTTGGTCCTTCTATTAACGGTTCAGCACTCTGGTACTCAGAAGGAGGACATAGATCATAATTTCCCATATTTAAAATATTGTCAAAGTGGCCCTTAAACTTATTCAATAAGTCAACCGGATCGGTCAGAATAATGTTATTATCATCCCTAATTCCAGACGTTATGGGCCCTACACATTTACGTGATCTGTTTTTACCTTTGTACATGTCTCTTACGTTATTTTCGATTCTATTAGTTTCTATTTCAATTATTTTATTTTTAAGATACTCCATTTTTTTATTTTTGAGCAATTTTGTTGTTTCGTTCTTTGAGGTTCGGAAGTATTCCAGATTGTCTTCGCTAGGATTATTTAGAGCTTTAAATTTAGCGGCTTTTCTTTTTTTGCACATGTTTAAGCTATCTTCATCAACAAACAACGGTTTGTTATTCATATTTTCCTTTTTTCCTAGACACGAGTTACCGACCGCTTTAATATTATCCCTGATCTGTACCCATAACTTGTCAATATTCTCATGTTCCTTGTCAGGAAGCTCTAAAGCTTCAAACCTATTCTTAACATCTAGCTCAAATTGGGTTCTAATTGATGGATTTTTTAATTTTTCCAAATTAAAATTCTCAAAATCGAAACGGTTTTCTTTTCTCTTTTTTATATTAAGTTTTTGTCGAAGTTTCGCGATTACTAATTCATGATCCGACCCACATTCTGCTCCGCGATAAGACCGTACATTAATTATACTGCTTTGCCAGCTATGTTGTATCAAGACATGATCGATTTAATTTCATGTTTGCGAATCCGGTGATGTCCAAGTATATTTATGAATATCCTTATGTTTAAACGTCGTGCTTTTAATTATCAGGTTTTTCGAGAATGGCAAAGTTTATCAGACGGATCCCATTATCATTGCTATATTCATGTAAACTTTGTTTACCAATTGTCGGAATATAAACTTCTTCCCTTCCTACCTTTGCGTTTGCGTCACCTATAATTATTTTCATGTAGTTTCGCGGTATCATAAACCCATTCGAGTTTATCGTAAAATTCACTTTTGACTTCATCGTCACTGTCTTCGGTCGTACAATGTATGTTTATTAATGCGATTTTAAACCAACCTCCCTGAAATATAGCTACCGAAATTCTATCACTAAAGAATTTTACGTCCCTCAAAGTGGATAGTAATCTATTCCTAATTAGAAACTCGGTACCTAAACAATGATTCCCGCTTTCTCCGTACCAAATAGTGTACTTTCCTTCCCTCATCGAGCCCTACCCTGGCCAGCAAACCTCTTGCAGAGCCACGACATCCAAATTGTACCCATTTACCTTATTCGTGACCGATTTTAGCCCCCCTGCTATGTTTAAACTCCTTACGCTCCACGTACCAATATGTAAATCCCTATATTTCAACTTGCGCCATGAATCCCCTAAAGCAGTCCCCACCCGGAGACCCGAACAGGGGACTAGTTTACCTCCAGATGATGAGCGTTTTACCTTAGGGAGATCCATGACTATTTGTGGTGTTTGGTGAACTAAAGATATGTGAGTAGGGCGTTCAATCCTATGTCACACCCTCCAGCAAGTCTCTGGACCCCTACCTCCAGCAGGTCTGGAGGTCCCCTCCCTCCAGCAAGTCTGGAGGGCCCCTCTCATTGTTGGTCAGCGAGTCCATCGAACTTAGCCGGGAGGAACTTCCAAGGAATTTCCACCGACCATCCCCACATCCACCACCCATGGGACGCTCCCCATACGCGGTAATGAGTCCGCGCGAGGAGTTCAGATTAGACATATATTATTTTAGTTTATAAAACAGGTATTAATATGACTCATTTCCAGGGAAGTATATACAATTTAAATTACCTCTAAGAATCAGTAAATATAAAAAACAAAGTGTTAAATTGCAAACGTTAAATAAAAAATTCAAGATATTCAGCAAAGTATTTTTGAATCAAGTTTTTGTTATTATAATTATATCAATTTTACAATAGAGCCTTCTTAAACGACCTCCGTATAGAATAAAAGAAATTAAATTTAAAAAAATAAAACAATAAATTTTAAAAAATGTTAAATTTTTTTTGGACAATTAAATTATTGCATATATATTTGTTTGTTAATACGATCAATATAATGTACCAAAAACGTTATTAAAGCTCTATAACTAAGCCATTTATGAGTCTGAATGGTGTGGCAGAAGCCTTTAGGCACCTACGCTGGTACTACTTTTCTGCCGCTTAAGTGCGTTTTATACAGAACTGCTTCAAATATTTTACAAAGTAATCAGTGTTTTAGAAAGAAAAATATATTCTCCAGATGTTTTATTGCCTAAGCCAATTATTTTTTAATATTTTTTCATGCTTTATAATTGTCTGACTATCCAGCTTTAATAAAAGACCAACTATCATGAAATGAAGCCAAATGCTGATTCTCAGTGAAGAAAAAACTAACTAAAGTCAATGTCGTCAGTTCGCCATGTTTGGACGCCATTTTGGGGCAGTTCGTTCACTTTTTTTTGTGGAAACATTGGCCTTTTTTTAAATAAATACAAGGAACACAACGACATGCAATTTATAGGGATGTGGGGGGGGGGAGGGAGGTCTGGTCCATAGACTATAACCCATTCATGCCATTCGAATATGACAGGGCCTTATATTTAGTACAAAACCAATTGAATTGAATTGAAATATTATATGTGGGGATTGGATCCTGGGATGCTGTGCTTGTCCCATAAAAATCCGCTATATTTCAATTAGTTCTTCAAATAATCAAAAAACTACATCTCATGATCACCTAATTGACGACACATTGTTTGTGTACAACACTATACTGCAATTAAGGTGAGCCTGTATGGCTGCAAACCCTTTGCACATAAGCGTGCATTATCTCAAAAAACTGTATATTTTGGGGCTTGATAGCTCAATGTCAGTTGCATTTTGATGGAACTTTACCATGAGTCTTGATGTCTGCATCCAAATCAAATTTGGCCTATCTCGATCTACCGACTTACTACTGCCCATTTATGAAGGCTAGTGAAATGTTTATGTTGACTATTTATTTTTTGGGAAAAAAAAAAATACGATTCGCTTATTCCCCATGAAATTCTGGATCTAATAATACCCCATTTAAGGCATTTGAACATGATAAGGTCTTAAGTTCGGTTCAAAACTGATTTTGAGGCATGTGAAAAATATAAATATTTGAAGCTTTTGCAAGTTATCGAGTAATGTGTAATTATTAAATTAATGTATTAGCTTTTAATTGTAATGTTATTAATCATTCATATTTTTTAAGTGAAATTTCTTTATTTTATTATTTTTCAGGTAAGAAAGGATATTCATTGGTAAAGCTATCCAGATCATCATTGTTAAATTTTACTGTTTTAAATTAAGACCTAGGATAGCTATACAGTTGTACCCACAGTTAATTATTGAAGATATGTGCCATATTGAAGAAAAGAGTTTTGGCCAAGAGTGAGCAACAATGATGCTGAGGAAAAAATAAAATAAGCATTCTGTGAACTAAAACTATAGTAATTAATTAAACAAAAACAACTTTTTGTCTGTTGATTAATGAACTATATTGTGCGTATGTATGTGTTTGTGTGTAGCACACTTGTGCTGTATATAGCACTTGTATAAATATACAGCATTAACACATGCATACACCAATACATAAATAGTAATGTAAATAAATATATATATTTTTTTTTCAGAGTTTTATATAATGGTACTTTTACAAGAAATGATTTCTTTAATCACATTTCGTTTGTTTAAAAAAATTTGTCATATTTGAATTTTTAAAAGACTTCTCAAAGTAATTTTCAAAAGTATGGAGTTTTTTTAGACAATTAAAATTATTTTTGGAATTTTCAGTATATTTTTTATACCATATTTTAATGTGAAGAGAGAGAGTGATATATATAATTTTTTTTAAAGTTAATTTTTTATTCCTTTGAATATACTCATGGTCAGGAAATATATTTAGATGAATGCAGCTTTTCTTTGAATTCTTATTTGGATGTGACATTGTTAAAATCTTAATGTTAAACAGATTTTTTTCATTTATCAACGCAAATCACTTAAATTACTAATATCACAATAAGTGAAAAATGCTTCAAATTTCATTATGGGGGTTATGAGTAATTGTGACATGATATGTGTGTGTATGATATTATATATATATCTGTGTGTATGTATTAATTACATATATTTGTCTGTAATTACTTTTGCAGAATTTCATTTGTTGTATTCTATTTGAATGCTGATGAATTTTCAAAATTTTTGGTATTTTACTGATCATAAAATAAATAAGTAATGTTATAATTATCTTCATTTTTTATCATAAGGTTGGAATTGGACATTATTATTGTCAGACACTTGTGTTTTTACTGATCTTAAAATTCATTATCTTATGGTTAGATTTATTTTTATTTTATATTGGAATTAGGGCTGTATGATTCCATTATTGTTCATTTATTATAAAATATAATTGTAAGAATGTTAATATTTTTCTTGAAGAGACTATATTTGAGAGAGTGATAATTAATTGAAAAGGCTATCTACGTGTGCATTGTGTGCCTAATTTATTTCAATTAAAATAAAATCAAAGTTAATTTATACCAATATTAATTGGATTTTTTTAAACTATTTTTTAGTTAATTGGTAGTAGAGGGGAGGGAAATTGCTGGTTCCAATTTTTCTAGAGCAGTTGAAAAACTTCTCTTGTCTTTGGTAGCCTCATATGATTTTGTTTCTTTATCTCTCAATCATGTTAGAGATATATTTTCAATTTTTAGGGTATTATTTGATGCTTTTATATGTTAGTAATGGCTGATTTTCAATTATTTTAAGTTGATTTCCTTTTGTGGTTTGAGTAGTAAAATGGAATTATCCATTTTTCCTTGTGTTTTTTTATTTTATTTTTTTGTCTTTTTTTAGTTCTTTAATACTGTCAATTTCTGTAATCTGGTGTTCTGCTTTTCTTTGTTTACTATTACCTTTTCTAAAAAATGGAGTTTGGTTTTTCACATTTCATTGTTTAATTGGTGATTTAATAACTTAAATGAAAGAATATACATGATAGTTATGGTTATCATACAACTAAACATAAGTTACCACAATTGAGGATAATGTGATGAAAGTTACAAATGGATATATCTTGGTTGAATCTTATTCAAGGTTTGTGTGTATTTGTTTATTGCGAGGTAAGTTGTGTTAACTTTACTTTGATTTGTAATATCATTCATTACACAGCATGTGTAAATGTTAGATTTGTAAAAAATAACCATTGCTTTTATATTTAATTATTTTATAGAATATTTAAAAGAAATATTATGTATATATAAGGTAAGATTCAAGATCCTACTAGAGGATTTCTGATTAGGTTGAATTGTCTTTATTAACTCAATAGTTAATATTTCGTTCAACTCATCTTTTTATCCAGAAGTGGCGTTATGATTAATTATATGTTGTATCTATAGTTTTTTGTTGTATTGAAATTTATTGCTCTGAGGATTTTATTAATTTGATGGCATTGTCTATAATCAGATGTTAAATTTTATTATTTTTTGAAAATGTGAAATTAAATTACATTAGGTTTAAAAAAATATGTAATTTTTAAAAAATGATTCTTGAATTTTTCTTTAAGGGTTTAATGTTTTCAGTCGCCTATTTCTGTATAATTGCCACTAGTTGAATTTTTTTTCTGTCTATGTCAGTTTATCTTGATTAGATTAAAATATGCCTATTAGTTTATCATATTTTTATTTTTTTTCTTAACTGTTATAAACTGGGTGAATTTCTCAGATCTAACTTAAGTTACTAAAAGTGTGTTATGCTTTAGGATATGTGTATAAGAACTGCTTTGTATTGATTAAAATCTATATACTTAATCAGTTTCAACTTTATGATGAATCACTGCCTTATCAATTTTAAAAATATTTTCATTAACCTTATTTGTAGTTTATCTGAAATTCCTTATTCATTTATACTTAGAATGAACGGTTAAGTTATTTCTTATATCTGAAGTTTCGCCCATTTTTCTAAAGAACTGCCATTATAATAAGTCTTAATAACTCTATGTTTTAGTGTTTTTCATAAGACCCTGCATTATTTGTTTTTTGATCATCTAATTTGGCTCTGGTTATATGCTGCAATCTTGGTAAGCTTTATTTTGTTAAATTATTGCTGAAGAGTTCACAAAAAAAAAATTGTTTAAAGTTTACTAATCTTAAAATTGGTTATTGCACTTATTTTTTTTATTATTGTTTTTTTTCAGAATTCTTATTGTAAAAATATTGATACACATATCATTTTAGAATATTTTTAATCTTGACATCAGTTAAAAAGACTTGATGTCAGATAGAGTAACTCACTGAAAAGTTTTCAATGATTGTCTCTTAATAGTCCTATAAAAAGATTTTAAAATGAATTTGAAATTTTTTGCTAAAAATCTTTTGAAATCTATAGAAAGAGTCTCGCCTGTGATACCATCGGAATGAATGCTCATTTTTTATGTTAATCCCAATTTTTTGGAATAAACGAAAAAATATTCAGTACTCAAAATAATGATTTTTTATTTATCTTACGGAAATCGGCTATTCCATTCAGTATTATTAATATTATTTTGGGTTTGTATTGATTTGTAACAATTTTGTCTTGATTTTTTCTGAATTTTCATTTTTGATGAAGAAAATTGCGTTGAGCTCAATTAAAATTTCAATAAGGGTTATTAATTTAAGTATGCTTTTGTGTTACTACTATTTTATTTTATTGATTAACTCAATAGTTTTTTTTAATTTAATTTAGTTATTTCATAAAATTCAAGTAGGCTGTAGTTGTCATGTATCAGCTCTTGAAATAAACATAAATGAAAAAGATAGTACTAAATTTTATATTAACTAAATTCATTAATGTTTATCTAGTTATATTTTTAACTATGTAGACATTTTTCAAATGATAATGTTAAACTTTAATAAATAATTTTTATTATGAGCATTGCACAATAAATTATAGTGAAATAAAAATACTTCTTACTGTATACATAATTAAAAGCTGTGTTATATTACTAACATAAATTTTATGATCAATATCTACTTGACAAATTTTACTTTTGATTAATAAAATATTTTAAAATCTCTTCCTTTCTTATATTGAGAATATCTGTGAATATTTATTTGGTATTTATATATGCTAGTATTTATGAGAATCATATTTTATTTGTGATAGTGGGTTTTAGGTACAGAGTTACTAGGATAATATCTCAGTATTAGTTAAGGAAGAGAAAAAATTAACTATTAAAATAAACTTTGAGATTGTTACTTTAATTGAGTTTTATTGCTTAATTGTTTTAAGTTTTATTCTGACCATTTTTAGTATTATGAATTTGATTCAATTATTTACTTATTTAACACACAGGTTCGTCTGAAGACCAAAATAGTAGATTGTATAAAATCCCTCAGATAAGGTTTTAAACTACTTGAATTGCGATAAATGCAAAATATTTTTATAGAGGTTCCCACTAAGTTCTGAATATTTCTATCTTTTGATGGTCACCTTACCGACTGCTTTTCTTTTCACACTGCACTTACAAAACATATTTGCAACTACTTAACATTATGTTTCCCTGTTTTTGTTTCTATTACTTGCGCTAAATATTTAATTATTGACTAAAATGTAAATATTATTTGAAATAATCTGTAATTAATATTAATTCCCTGCCTCAGTCACTAGCAAAGAATAAGGTTATTTAAGCTTAACAATCCCCAATCAGAAACGAGGGATAAAAACAGAACCTTATTTTTTTTCCATATGTTTGTTTTGAAATTTATTTAAATTGCTGTCAAATAACTGGAGTTACACCTGGGAACCCTAATAATAGTGTGAGAAACGTTAACAAGACAATGTTTATTAGTTAACCAGCTAGCATACTTCTTAGAGGTGGCTTAATTAATATGAACAGTTGGCGCGGTGAACACCTGAAGTGATATTCAGATCCCAATGGAAGCTTTTACTATCAAGGTGCATTTTTAAAGAACATTTTAACATTAATCATGTTTATCATTTTTGTTTTAAATTTATTTTGTCTCTTAAAAATCGTTGGTTATTTTTTGTTGTATAATTAGTCTCTGATTGTTATATTAAATATTTGAATGAATTGCTCAAATTTTGAGGACTTAAGAACCATTTAAATTAAAATCCTTGGTATGTCTTTTTTTTTTTTATGTCCCTTCTTTGTTCAGCTCTTGATAAATAGCTGGTTAATAAATTTAATAGTATATAAGATAAAACATTTTTGATTTAGACTTAAATGCAATGAGCACTCTTATTTAACATTTTTAAAAGATTAAAACAAAAGCATGTAGTATAACCTCAGATTAATAACGAAACCTTACATTGAAAGCTTAGAGCCTATTGTGGAAAAAGTTGAAGCATAGCTTTAATGTGGATATTACTGATTTTAAACCTAACTTACTAATTGTTCTTTATGAGATGTAGGAAATAATTATTTAGATTTAATTTAATTTAGTCTGAAAAATAGAGATGTATTTTTTTTTCATCCAAATGTTTACATCTAAACTCTCTCTCTATATATATTTTCTCTCAATGTGTGAATCTATAAATATTTATTTATAGCCACACTCATACATACCTGCATTGCATACATGCAGTAATTATTGTAATATATGATTTTGTACAGACAAATATAGCTTATATATCAGTATGTGTGTGTGATGTATACAAACACACATGCATACATATACATATTATATCACGTACATGTATATTAAAATAAATTCTCACGATTATGTGTATATTTATGTTGATGAGTTATAATTTAGAATATAAGAAGGTGATACTAATTGAATATAGAAGAATGAAATGAAGTGATATGTTTATATAGTGTATCTCGAATTCCTTAAATATTTTTTTGTATATATGAATTGTTTTTGTAATGTTAAAAAATGTAAAAACGTGTAAATTATGACAAGGTATTATGAATACTATATATACTTAAATTTGTAAAAAAAAAAAAAAGTTGTAATATTATTGTTAATTTGTATTCAATATTTTTAATAATTATTCAATTATAAAAAAATAGTTTATATTACTATAGTTTAAAATTCTTCCTGTGTTGGGTTTAATAATCATTTGAATAATTTAATTTTGTTTTAGATTCAATATATATACAATATCAATACAAGCTTCACAATATTTAGGAATCTTTTTTTATGTAATGTTTCATGAAAGAATTATTTAAGCCTATGAATTATGTAGTATTTTTATTCTTGATGTTAATTTATTTTGGAACAATAAACATGTTAAAAACCATTGCAATATTATTACTTATAAATTAATATTCACTGCTCCCTATTTCCAATAAATGAAAGTGATTGTATAAAAACACTCAAGTATTGTAGTAATATAGCTTTTTTAGTTGTGTTGTAGGAATGAAGTGTTTTTTCCCATTATATTAAAAATATATATTTATTTTTTAAATTTTAGCTCATTTGCAAGTCGTGTCTAAAAACCAACTTGAAAATGTAAAAATTCTTAACCTGGAAAAGGTAGCTCTGATAGAGGGACCGGTTTAGGTAGCACTTCACCAAGAAGACAGAAGTATCATAATTTTGTTTTTAATGAATCCAAATTACCATAGTAAGATCTATACATATATTTTTTATTTCGGTTGACGCTACAGACCATTACGATCTTTGACCGCGAGATATGGTCTCCTAGACCATATCCCGATTCCCGATTTAAGTACGCGGGGGTTAAGTCCTACGCCCGGGAGGGAAGGGGGGAGTGTATCAAGTGAAGAGTATTGCCGCGGTTTGTCACATAGGTAATTCTTCTAAGAAATTGGTGGGGTCGTCGAGCAATTACCCCGGTGAGGGTGGGGATCTAAGGTGCAAATAGTGCATTACGACCTTAAACGTGGATAGGAGCGATTTTCACTAGGACAGGGCCATGTAAGGCTCACTCGCTTAGACCATCAAGAATGGTTGATGAGTAACGGGTCGGAATTTGTTGTGTGGAGCATTCTTCCGGTTGGCCGAGAAAAATGATAGCACGGCCAACAATGTCAGTTGCGCCGAAAATGGGACTAACCCCTGTCCCAGGTAAATAAGTTATAAACGCCAAATCAGTAATAAAAGTGAACGGGTTGAGTCCACTTGAAAAAAGTGTGAAAAATTATTCTTAATACCAAAAATGAATCAATCTAGCCATAAACTTTCAAGGACGCTGCCCTAGCTCCCACACAGGATCTTCAAGTCATCTGGCTCCCCATAAAATAGACTCTTAGCCAACAAGAAATGTCCACTCTACAATCGAAGGTCCGACATAACTGTTTAAAATTTTAATGAATAAATAACCCAATACCTTTTGACACAATAAAAACCCCACATTCCTTTGCCCACCGACACCACCTGAGGCCACACAAAAGAAGTCAAATAGCCACTTACGTATACAAACTCACCTCTTCAATTCAGCAAAAAGGACACTCACCCTTCACTGTCCCCCCTAAACACAAAACCCGTACCCATCCTTCACTGAATAAGCAGTTCTTATAAAAACCTCCCCTAGCCTTCCCACTCAATGACACACAACACCATCGAATCCCGCCTACCTTAGCTTATCACACAAAACCCCATGTCAATAACAAAAACAAGTCAGAGTGGTCCTCATACCCGTAAAAACGACTGAGCCATACCCTCTGCCCCGAGTGTCCCACCGCACTCACTATTGGAGTCACCGGCCGTCACCAAATAAACCGAAAACCGCCACCTAAACGACCGCCAGCATTCTAATCCCTACCCAAGCCCCCGCCTGCTCTATCCATTTCCGTCGACCCGTCTCAAATCTTGGTCACTAGCTCTCCCGTCCAAGAACAACAGACCCTACTTAACTTTCGTCCTATGAGGCAATAAACCCAACAATAATAACATCTTCTTCGCGATTTCTATTTTCGACGCTTCCTGGGTACATCTCAGAATCTCCCACTTTTGACTACAGGGATAAACCACGCGTCTTATCCGACTATCTCATTTGTAAGCCACCAAAATCTCCGTTAAATTTCCCTTCAAAGAGTTATTTTGACTGTCCAGTTTCTGAAACTCCGAGCCTTTCATTTGTCTGTCGGACCGGAATAGAGAGCCAATAAACAACACATACCGCACACCTGGGCCCCAGCACCTCTCGCGTGTGCAATCTACAACCGACACCCGCAACCATAAGCTGTACCATAATATCTTAATATACATATCCCACTTCGATTGAATTATACAGTGTACAATGTTTTATTAAAGTATTGAAGGATAATGTCATGTTTCGTGGTCTGTGGATTGAAGAGAGCAATTAATCCTTCTATGCTTCTGATGAATAAATACCAACAATAAACCTCTATTGACAAACAGTGTGAGTAAACATCATTATTTTTCTTGTGAAAATAGTTCAGTGCTCTGTTTGTGATAGTGCCATCACCAGAGAGGGCAAATTTAATGTAAGTTGCAATAAATGCCCCATTATATTTTACGGCAAATGTTGCAATCTCAGCGATAAAGAGATTGAGGCATTAAAATCTAAAAATAAAATATGACTCTAAAGCCTCGTCCACACCAGTATCCATGTTGCGCGATTTTCGTCTCTCAGACATGTCTCAGTTTTTCTATAGCATTTCCAAGTCAATTTCAACCTTTTCCAAATCAAATTCAACCTTTTCCATTACAAATTTATAAAAATAAAACCAATATTTAACGTAATACTAAATAAATGTAACCTACCTTACTCAGATTTTGCAGCTAATTGTTCGAAATCTTATAATTTTGTTACAGGTGACCACAACAGTTAAAAAGATAACTAAAATTAAATTAAAAATGAGAATACATATTTTATTTATTTCGATTACATATTTTTATTTATTTATTGAAAAATAAATTAATCCTTCGTATTTTGTTTTTTATTCGAAGGAAAAATCAAAAACACTTTAAAAAACCGAAACACAGTGGCCTAATCTTAAAATGTAAGTCGTTTTAAAAACTAATGCTCCGGCATCATAAAAGTGGACCTTTAAATTGGATAAATTCGAAACACTCAAAGAAATCGAAACGCGGTGGCCTAATCTTAAAATGGAGGTCGTTTTCAAAATCTACGGCTCCGGTAACATAAGAATGCACCCTTTTATGAAAAAAATCCGAAAAACTCAAATAACTCGAAACGCGGTGTTCTAATCTTAAAATGGAGGTCGTTTTCAAAATCTACGGCTCCGGAAACATAAAAGTAGACATTTATATTGGATAAATTCTAAAAACTTAACTAAGTCAAAACACAGTGGCGTAAACATAAAAATGGATGTAATTTTCAAAATTTACGGATCGGGAAACATAAAAATACACTCTTATATCGAAAAAACTTATTTAATTCGAAACGCAGTTACGTAATCTTAAAATGGAGGTTATTTTCAAAAACTACTCATACGATAACAGACCCACACATCGAAAAATTAAAGATAATTAAATAAATAAAAAAGGTTGAATTTGAAATGGAAATGGTTTAATTTGAAATGGAAAAGGTTGAATTTGACTTGTAAAAAGTTTAATTTGATTTGGAAAAGGTTGAATTTGACTTGGAAAAGGTTGAAATCGACTTGGAAATGCTATACATAGGCATGTCTATAGACCGATCCCCGTCTACAGACTTGTTGCGAGACCAAAAATCACAGCCCTTAAGTCTTCCGATCGTGTCCCTAGACGGTCTATTGACCGTATCTTGAGACTGTCTATAGACAAATCGAGCAACATTGTCTACTAGTGTGTACTAGGCTTAACAAATGCGGCCAAAGCAAAAAGACATACCTAGCTAAAGAAAAATAAGCTATTCCGCCCAGAAGTGAAATCAAGGAGCCCTCTGCAGCTGATATGCTCGGAGCGGTTAATCGACTTCCCTCCTCCCGACAAAAAGACTTCTAATGCAATCGCTAGTGAGACTAATAAACAGACAAAATATTTAACTCCCAAATTCTAACGTTCTTTAAGAGTCGAAAAAGAATAATATGATAAGTCGGAATTCTTTCTCGACATGAAAATAGAAAAATTTCTTGGACTTAGTAGTGACCATGTAAATACAGTAAAAAGGGAAAATTGAAATAAGATTTAAAAGCCCTGAATTCACTAATTAATTTCTAAAAAATTTGCTTCTCGCCACCAAAAAGCTAAAGGCGTATATAACACGCCATTTTGTAATTAAACATGGTATCATTCGCGATATCCCTGTGGAAATGAGCGAGAATGAAATTATATCTAATCTTAATTCAATTGAAAAAGTTTCGGTAGTGTGGAACGTACATGTTTTAGAACAACGGAGGGGGCTGACGGCTCGGTTTAAGTCCCGACATCATCCGTTCAAGTAACATTTGATTCTCAGCACTTACCTAAGAATGTTTCACTGTGTTTAGCCTCAGGGAAAGTGTATCCGTACATTTTTAAATCACTATTTTGTGAAAATTGCCCTAGATCTAGCCATTTAAAGGACAAATGTCGAGGTAAACCCCGTTGCAAAAATTGTGGTAGCAAGGAACATAACAGCGAAATTTGCGAACCATTAACCAAATGTATATACTGGTATAAAGTAAACAAACCAAATAATAAAATGTGGCCTGAAACTGAACGCCAATGTAAAATCAAAGAGATAATAGCAACTAAATCTGTAAGTAATAGCGATGCCGCTAGGCTGGTACCCACCATTATATTTAATAAATTTGATATTTTAGATTTTCCTGCCTTGACTGATAATAATAATTCCGGGGCTATATTACGAGGCACTAGAGAATTTATTTATAAAAAAAAACAAGGAAATAGTCCTAGTAGAATATAAAGAAATAGCTAAAAGAACAAGAAAATATGCTTGCCAGGAAAAATCTCCTAATCATACACCAGAATAAAAAAAATCTGTTAAACCATTTGAATTTGAAAATCCCCATAAAACTTCATCCGATTCTAAATATATAATTATGCTAAATTCACTCATCAATAAAATTGAAAATACCTAAATAAAAAATAATGAACAAGAAACGGTAAATGTTATAGGGAAAACATTTTATAATATAAGAAAATTATTATTATAAGAAAATAACAACAGTAACAATGTAAGGGTAACAATGCAAAATCAATCAAAACCCTTAAATTTTGATTCCTCTTATATTACACCAATAACCCGAATAAGTACATTTCAATAAATGATATACTAACAATTAATTACAATAGTTTATAATATTTTTACTCAATCTACTATTCAGTTAAAATGATCCACCAATATAAAATTTTTGTCATCAACAAATTAAAAATAATGCAGCACAATTACCGTAGTGCCTATAATAAATTCCAAGAAATCATAAACTATTTAAATATTAATAAAATAAACATTGCTCTATTCCAAGATACATTCACATTATCAGAAAGAATCGTCGTGATGCTTATGGGGTTGTTGGAATTTTCTTACATACACCCTTCAACTTCGAAAAAATCAAACTAACCGATCTAGAAAAAAATAAAGCAGTCGGTATTTAAAAAGTGGTAAATATAGCCTATGATCTATAAGAATATCCTCATTCTGCAAACAGCAGTAGGAAGCGGATATGACTATGAAGAAATCCTCTCGTAAAAAAGAGAAAATAATTCAGATATGGAAAATTATGAGAAAAAATTGACAAGAAAACATTTTATTTAAAAACAAAGAGAATTAAACCTAGGTAATAATGAAAAATTACAAATATAGAATATATTTAACATGTTAGACCAAATTTGTTTCCATACAGTTGTATTTTCTTTACACATCTTTCTGATTGAACGAGTCGTTATCGAATTAGTTCAGTTGGATTGTTTACTTAGATTTGAGTTAGTTTTTATCGCTGTCAAAATTTTATGTTTTTGACTGACACATTAAAAAATAAAATGATTCAAAATGTCTTTTATTCTTTTGTGATATGCTTTCTGTTGTGTGGACCTCTAGTGAAGTCTGTATGTGTTTCTTTTTTAATGTTTAATAATATAATATGATTAGTACATATATATTTTTTAAATTGATATTCCTATTTATTTTGTTTTTGAGTTCTCTTAATGTCAGAACTTGTTATTAATATATTTTGTTATACAATTCAATGGGTTAAATACTAAACACTTAGAACAAGCTGGAAAGTATTACTTTCAAATGTTAAGAATTTCTTTGAATAAAATGGTGTTTAAATTAACCTGTTGTTCTTGGCATTCCAATAGAGGGATACACATATCATTCTTTTCAAATATAATATCGTAATAATTTAAAATGTTTAATTTATAATGTTCCATATGGAAGGAAAAATTCATTAAAAATGCGTTTTGCTGATTTATTTGCTTTATTTATTTTAAATGGCATTTATCATGAATATGTTTATAAATTCTATTTTATTGTCTAATGGGTATTATTTCTAGGACTTAATGATATTTTTAATGTTGTAAACATTTATTGTTAGTTAACCGATAACTAAATAAATATTGTAGGGATTATTTATATTTAATATGTTATATTATGTATAGAAGTTTAATAATTACAAAAAATAATATTTTCTTAAAATGTGGTACATATTTCATTACCCCATGATAGTAATCCATTTCTGGTTTTAAACTGCTTGATGCCAATGTTAGTATTGGTATTATTAATTCATATTTTTAAATTTTAAAATTTCTATAATGAAATTTCAAGGTCGCTCAACTATATTGAGTTTATAATTCACAAAGTATAATCCTTAGTCCAATAGATAGTATTAAAAAATGACAAATGCGAGTTAATCAGGATTAATATGATTAATGCCAAATGTTAAGATTTTCTTTTTCAAGGAGATTGGATTACAGGTGTTCGGGAAAACCTAGTACAATAAAAAATTAAAATTTTATACATACATGTATAATCACTTGAAAATATTGGATTTGTATAAAATTAATTTAGGTTGAAGAATTTGGTTATTTTTGACTTTTGGAGGACCTCCCTCACTGCTTCTCTTAGACATTCTAGGACATGGCATGTTGCTCTGTGTTGCCTATGATGAGCTCTATATTTTCCTGCTTCGTACTCTCATTCTGTTCTTATAAAAGAAGGTTTGCAGTTCTCAGAAAGTAAACACAGGGAGAGTGTTTTTGAATGCATCTGTTTTAGCTATGAAGCACTTGGCAGGTGGGCGATGTACACTTGAAATAGTTCTCTGGCTCTGCATTTATTTTTTTCTTTTATGAACAAATCTTTCTTTTCACCCGTTCTTTCCCCATAATTTTTTTTTTACAAATTTAAATTATTGTGATTGCACTATATAGAAGTCATAAAAGACAACAGAATATGCAACAATACAGTGAATAATAAGGTGTGATGGTAATTGTATGCTAATCTTATAGTCTGTGGGCCAGACCCCCTTACCGTGCACCCCCCTCCACATCCCTATAAATTGCATATTGTTGTGTTCCTTGTAACTATTTATTAGAAAAAAGCCAATGTTCCCACAATAAAAAGAGTATCCATTATATAGCTAAATGAATGTATAGTAGACAGATGAACAGAATATTTCAAGATGTTCCTAAAAGGGGGTCAATTGCAGTTTGGATGATATTAAGTGGACGATATAGGATTATTATGGCGAAAACCACTTTATTTTCGATTGCTGAAGATGCACATTGGGACTATCTTCACTTTGAAGCAGGATATAGAGAGATATATCGAGAAAGTTATAGTTCATAGCTCTCCTTCTGTTTAGTGCATTTGCAAAAGATTTTTTAAGGAATCTTATATTAGTTATAGCTCGTTATTGTTCAGAAATTGCGGAATAAATTGTTCGGAATTTGTACCATATCATAAAAAAATAGGAAATTTTAATATTGAATGCATTATTCTCTCTGCACAAAGAAAGATGGAAAGGGCGAAACCAAACTGCTTCGCACAGTTTTGCGCGTACATAGGCAACAAGTATATTAGAAAATGATATGAAAGGACTGTGGTTTTTACCTTTACAAGAAAGGAGATACTAGGAAATGTAATACCCATCAAGATCCATTCCTGTTTAGTGTACCAAACAAATTATACTCAAGAATCGTAGAAGCTCAAGATTGAGAAACTCAAGTTGCACATTGGAAGAGAAGTTGAAAATTGGGACTGTCTTCACTTTAAGGCAGGTTATAGAGAAGTCCATATAAAAAGAAAAATTGCTCTCTATCTGCTTAGTGCCTTCCACTTTGGATTATGCTAATATCTAATTGTCTTTCAGAAAAGTTTGTTTTCCTTTTTGATTCCTTAAATAATCTTTTGCAAATGCACTAAACAGAAGGAGAGCTATGAGCTATAACTTTCTCGATATATCTCTCTATATCCTGCTTCAAAGTGAAGATAGTCCCGATGTGCATCTTCAGCAATAGAAAATAAAGTGGTTTTCGCCATAATAATCCTATATCTTCCACTTAATATCATCCAAACTGCAATTGACCCCCTTTTAGCAGCATCTTGAAATATTCTGTTCATCTGTCTACTATACATTCATTTAGCTATATAATGGATACTGGTCCTTTTTATCTTTTCCGAGGTTTTGGCACTTCCTTTCTCGTTCGCTTAATGTATTTTTCCAATTTTCTGGTTAAATTTCGCGTTTTTCCTCATTTTGAGACCAATCCAAACAATCAGTTCTGATTTATAGAAGAACTTATAGCGTCACCTTTTCTATCTTTCTTTGTGCATACAGAATAATTCATTCAATATTAAAATTTCCTATTTATTTATGATATAGTCCAACTTCTGCACAAAATAAAGGAAATAAAAATTAATTTTTTAATTAGTGATATATGAGTTTTTCTAAATAACGCGGTAGCTATTCATTATATATAGTTCAGATTAGGTATATATTATTTTACTTTATAAAACAGGTATTAATATGACTCATTTCCTGGGAAGTATATAAAAATTTTAATTATCTCTAAGAATCAGTAAATATACAAAACAATGTTAAATTGCAAACGTTAAATAAAAATAAAATCAAGATATTTAGCAAAGTATTTTTTAATTAAGTTTTATTATTATAATTATATCATTTTTACAATTGAGGTCTTCTTAAACGACCTATAGAATAAAGGAGGTTAAATTAAAGAAAAATAATAATAAATGTTTTCAAAATTTTTTTTTTACAATTAAATTATTGCATTAATATTTGTTCATTAATAAAACCAATATAATGTACCAAAAATGTTATTATATCACTATAACTAAGCCATTTATGTGTACTGAATGGTGTGGTAGAGGCCTGTAGGCACCCACGCCAGTACCGCTTTTCTGCCGCATAAGTGCATTTTCTACGGAACTTCTTAAAATTTTTTAAAACATAACCAGTGTTTTAGAAAGAGAAATATATTCTTCAGATGTTTTATCTCAGTACGTTTTGCGTTATTGTAGGCCGTTTAATTACAAACGACGCTTGATTTGTAACTTGAAAATTTTTTTGTTAAATGACTTTACTGGTGTTTTTCATAGCCTAAGCCAATTATTTTTTAATATTTCTTCATGTTTTCTTATTCTATGACTATTCAGCTTTAATAAAAGACCAACTATGAGGAAATTAAGCCAAATGCTGATTCTCAGTGACCAAAAAACTAACTAAAGTCAAAGTCGTCAATCCGCCATCTTTGGACGCCATTTTGGGGCAGTGCTTTCACTTTTTATTTTGGGAACATTGGCTTTTTTTTAATAAATAGTTACAAGGAACACAACGATATGCAATTTATAGGGATGTGGGAGGGGGTGCACGGTAAGGGGGTCTGGCCCACTGTGTATTATATAAAAATAAAAAAATATGTGGAAACAAGAAAAAAAGAAAGTGGGATATGGTGATAAGGAGAAAAATAAAAATAATAAGAGGTACATACTATCAAGTCCAGGATTTAAGACAAAGCCTGATAAAATCATAGGCACTTAAGTTCTAGAAACAGAATTTTGAAATTTTAAGTAAAGTTCCATTTACCACAAGATGGTCTGCTTTATCATTCTGAAATCCTTCATCAATAATTTTTGGCTTACATTGTTTTATAGAAATAATAAAATTATGTCTCCTGGCTTTTATGTTCTCTGCCCTGTTGGAAACTTTCCCTTGAAATGCCCATTGGAAGAACTAGATCTGTTTTAAAGAAATGTTTGAATATTATTGTGTATTTAGTTCATATTTATATTTTAAATTTGTTACAGATAAGGACGAATAGATTGCATGGAGAAATAGGTAATGAGAATTCGCCATTACAATCTGGAATCTCTGAAGGTAATATTATTATTTAAAAATATTTGACTAATACTCTCAGTTTTTATTTATTTATTTTTATCTTTATTTTATGCTGTAAACTTGCAAGAAGATGTACATTTCATAATGCATGTTCCGCAAATCTTTTTTCTTCTTCCATTGTCTTGAAAGACCAATACTGGTCTTTGACCTCCTCTAAAAACTAACTGCCAGTCTGCTTGCCGTTGGGCAGCAGTTTTCCAATCTTTGACCCTCAAGACCCTCCAAACATCATTACACTTTCCGTCCATCTAAGAACCGGTCTTCCTCTGTGTCTAGTGCTGTGAATGATCTTATTCATTATTTTTCTGGGGACTTCATCCTCTGGCATTCAAGGAGGTTATATATTTCTTTTTTGATCGATTCTCCTGGGTCCATATATCTACCACAGAATTCATCTTTTGAAAGCCTTTAAAATTCGTTCATTTAACTGTGATATTGCCCATGACTTTGAACTATATTTCAGAACTGGTTTGATTAATACCTTATATAGCCATAATTTGGTTGTCCTTGACAAATATTTACTTATATGTCTTCCTAGCCCAATCAAACATTGGTTAGCAATAACTTTTCGGTAGTAGGCCTAGGCGAAATCTCCCTTGTTATCTAATGTTATATCACTTAACCCCCTCTTCTTATCTCGTCAAAGCTTTCAGTTATTATATTGTTTATTTTTCAGTTATTACATTCTTTATTTTTGTCCCATTGTGTTATTTTCGTTAAATTATTACATTCTGGGAATTACTGTTTTCACAAGAAGAGGCTATTGAATATTTTCAAAACGTTGGGATCATTGCAAACGTGAAATTGTGTGAAGATGGTCATCAAATAAAGTTAGGCAGAAAGGCGAAATGGAGATACTTTCGTACCGCTTGTAACAAAAAAGTTTCAATAAGAAAAGGAACGTGGTTAGAGAGGTCGAGGATTTAATTTTTAACGACTTTAAAGTTTATTTATGGGTGGTCGCTAAATAAATAAAATAAATTGTACATATGTCGTTTATAGTGTTTACATTGTTTCTTTTATATGTACATATGTTGTTTAAGTATTTTTTATTATTTCATTTTTTTTTTATTATTACATTTATTTTTGTCCATTTCATATATATGTTGTAAAATTAAAGTTTTTTCTGATTGTTGTGGGAATATATATATATATATATATATATATATATATATATATATATGAATTTAATATAGATGTTGTAAAATAAAAGTAATTTTTTATTATTACATTTTTTTTTTTTTTTTTTCGATTTCAATAATATGAATATAATACAATAAATATCAATACAAACATAGGAATTATGAGAAGTGTTATCAGAGCCTGATACTGGTTATAAATAATGGCAGATAGCAGTCGTTCCTGTCCCTCTAACGGACAAGTACCAACTTTTCTCCTCTCAAGTTCCATTGAGATGTCAGCGCTCACAGTTATCAAGGATTCCAGGTAGACAAATTCGTCTACTTCTTCATTCTTATATGAGCCAAACTGATAAGTATTTGACAAGGTGCCAAACACAGAGGTCATGTATTTGGTTTTCGTTGCATTTACAGGTAGTCCCATCCATCCAATTGTTGCTTCTAGAGCAAGGATGGCTTGGCATACTGCATTATCTGATATTATCTAGATCAGCTGCATAACCAAAGATCTGAACCATCAAAACATGCCAGGGCAACTCCTTGTGTCATGCCATTTGGGACAAGAGTCACTTATAATATTTTGCTCTGTACAAGCATTACTTCAATAGATTTCATAATTGTCAATTTAACCAATCTAAGTTTATCTGGGATGTGTTGTTTTCTCATAGCTTGTTCATGTAAACAGGTTTATGTAGTACACTGTCTTGAACAGCCTTGATGTCCATAAACAGGTGATTTGAAGTAATACAGTATTCTCTGCTTCTTGGCAATACAATACGGATTGAGAAGATCTGATTCACTGTTGATTTAAATTTGCAAAACCTACACAAATATTTTCCCAGTTAACCTTCCAAATATGGTAGAAATCAGATATATAAAATGTTTAAAAATATTTTACATGCATAGAGCAGTAACAATATACCTTGACTGTTTCTACAATCAAGTATATTGTAAATTGGGCAAAATATCAACTTTTTCCACGAGCTTGGCCTTGTTTCTGATGTCCACAAAGGTACAGATAGGTTTTGTTAGGCTTTAACAAGATTTTCATCTCCTTTCTTCTAGAGTTTTGTTGGCAAGTTATTAATTCCACATGTCTTATGGTCCCTAAACTTCTCAATTGTATCACACACCTCATCCTGGTCTGAGGGTTCAATTTCATCTCCTTGGTTTCTTTCACAATTAGGATCCATTTGGCCTGGTTGACCTTGTTCAACGTTTAATAGTTTGTCATAGTGGTTTTTCCATCTCCTCATTATAAGGTCCACACTGGTGAGAAAATTGCTATCTTTATCCTTATATGCAATGGTTTGTGGTTTAAACTGCTTTCACTCATCATTAATTTTTTTTATAAACTTTGATAATCATTTGTATGTCTGAGCTGCTCAACCTTCTTGTTGCTTGCTCTCTCAACTCTGTTTTTTTCCTCCTGTGGATTTCCTTTTCCTCTTTTCTTCTTTTGAATAGAGATCTACTGATGCTCTTGTGCGTCCTTTGAATGCCTGGTTCTTGACATCTGTGACTCTTCACCATTCCTGTCAAATCATACTCTCTTATATGACATGATGTCTGTATACAAATTTTTAGTAAAGGATATCTCTGTTGCTTTCAATCAAAGGACACTAATTAAATTACTTTGCCTTGAAAATAGTGATACCATGTTTTGTTTGTCTCTTTTACTTTCTTCTTTAACTTCCTCTTGGTGCCTTTCAGAGTTAAGTTAATTCAACCCAGGATCTCTATCTATCTCTATCTCTGGCAATAATTATCATCTCCTGCAATGATTTCCCTCCAATCAATAAATTTGTGTGGATCTCCATCAGGAATCATTCTGCCCGTTCTATTCTAACTATCTCTTCTCCAAGATCTCCTTCATTGCAGGAATATTTAGTTCTTCCTTATGGTTTCATTCCTGATCCTATCCCTTTTGTTTTTGAAGCCACTCTGCACAAAATTTCACTTTTTCTGCAGTTATTCAGCTCCATTTGTTGTCAAGAAGGGTCCAGCTCTCTGCTCCATACAGCAGAACAGGCATATATACGTCCTTAAAAATGTCTTCTGTTTAAAATCTGAAAATATAACTGTCTTTCTATGTTTGGTTATGAAGTGTGTTAAAGTTGGGTATGTTTTTTTTATTTAACACATATTGGTTCTTCAATTAGTGTGGTTTAATTTTTTTCATTGGTCTGTGATTTAATAAATTCCTTGCCATTTTGATAAGATTTTTGAAATTTAAATTCAAGTTGCTGATCTAAAATTCAATCCATAATATTTCTATGGCTTAGCTTTGCAGCTAATATTAATATAATTGGAAGAACCTTTGAGGCCATAAATGATACATTCCTTTAGCACCATAGAGCTGCTGAAAGAATAGAACTCGTTAATAATAAAACTATAAGGAGATATTTCAGTACAGCCCCTATGAAGCAGAACCCTAATTATATATTGAACCGTATGCCTTCAAGCAAGTTGATGAAATTATTTGGGTTCTCATGTTAATTTTCAGGATTACGTTGTAAATTCAGTCAAGAATTTTCCTCACTAAGATATGTTCACTGCCATTGTTATCGTTCCTGTAATTACAGTTTTCTCTTCTTTTTGGGCCAAGTCTTTAGGGTAGATTTAAACATAATTTCATATAGGTAGTTCCTTATTTTTCTCCAAGAGTAATTACCACAACAAAATTGCCCTAGAGGCAGCAATTTGAATTTTCTTTATAGTATGCAGACTCTGGCATGTATGGGTGTTGTATCTATTCATTCATATTCATTCTGGTTTGCTATTAAGTATGTAAGGATCTTGAATAAGAATAATATCAATATACTTAGCTCTGACATCATTTTTCAGCATACCGCTTGCTGCAACACAGTGAGACAGATTGATCTATAGCTGTTTCATCCTTATGTCTGGGCTTCATCAACTTTCTTAGACTTTTCCTAACCGGTGTCCACTTGGGAATTTCTCTTCTGTGCTCAGCTTTCACTGAGTCTTTTGGATACACACCCCAACAAACATCACTCAGCCTAGAAGTTGAAGCCATGATGCTTAAGCTTGGCAAATCCATGCTATTTATATCTGGGAGGCCTTTCAAGAGTGCTTCCATTTGCCACACTTCTGTGACCTTGCTTTCTAATAGAAAGTTTCTATCACAGCTGTGATAATAGCTTTGTTAATATAGACATCATCTTGTTAATACGGTATCTTGCTTACATGTCTTGTGACTTCAGGCTGTTGAAGCTGGACTCCAGAATCCACTGGATCCAGGTCTTTCATGTATTGAGTAGTTCCAGTTTCAGATTCCTTCCTCCATAGTGTTCTGCACCCTGAAATTTTTTAGAAGTATATCTTCCATTATCTTCCTTCTAAAAGAAGAATGAAGAATGATGCTATCTTTAATATTCGTATCAGCTCCCAAGCATCGCCGGTTTGGAGGGTAATGCCTTCGGTGGTTATTCTAGGTATTACTATATTATTTTCAAGATTTGGATATATGATTATCACAAGATAAGATGTATCCAACCATTTCATAGGTTATACTTCTGAAAGAAGAGTGGACCCCTCTGTCTTTGATTTCATCTAGCATATAGATTAGACGTTCTTACAAAACTTCACAATGGTTATGGTTCAAATGGATATACGGATAATTGCAAGGCATTAGTGTTACTATATGTAACCAATTTTAGTTGCTAAATTGAGAGCAAGAATATCTAATTGAAAAAATGTGAGAGGCCCTAGCATTATTAGATAAAACACAGAGAAGCTGAAGAAAGAGGATATGATGAGGAAGTTTGGAAAATGTACCGACTAAAAAACAGTTTAATGGAAGCGGTCTGATAATGTGTTGGAGGGAGTATAGAGCCATTGGGATGGCCTTAAGATATTTTGTCTGCTGCTGCAGACAATGGAAACTAAGTATTAGACAGAACATCCAAAGGAATGAGTGGTTTGATAATGAGTGTAAGGAGGTAACAAAGCCAAAAAACAAGGCATATCATATGATACAGCATACAAAATATTGTCCAGTATAATATTTACCCGATTGTTTCCATATGCAGAAAAAATTATAAAGGACTACCAATGTGGTTTCATGAGTGGTAAATCAACGACTGATCAGATCTTCACACTTAGACTAATCCTAGAAAAGACATAATATGGAATAAGTATGCACCATTTATTTGTTGACTTTCAAGCTGTGTATGACTCTATAAATAGAGGGATGCTTCATAAAGCTATGAGGGAGATGAATATACTGTCCAAACTGATCTGTATGGTAAGATAAGCCATCTCCAACTCTAAATGTCAAATTAGGATCCAGTACAATCTATCAGATCCCATACAAACAAGAAATGGACTGAAGCAAGGAGGTGCCCTGGCATGCCTTCTATTCAACATAGGTCTAGAAAAAGTGATAAGAGATTCTCAGATTCAAACTGGTGAACATATTTTCAATAATTGTGTTCAGCTTCTGGCCTATGCCGATGATATTGATATCATTTGAAGATCAGAATCGGGCATAAGATGCTTTTAAAGCTTTAGAGCGGTTCGTTAAAACAATGGAAAAAGTTATATATGAATCCAAGATAAAGTATATGGTTGCAGGAACTGAGGTAAATGAACCATATAATGAAATACAGGGATACGAATTTGAAACAATTCGGGGATTTGTGTACCTTGGGTCGCGTTTGTGTATGCCAAAAATAACTCCTCCAAGGAAATAGAGAAGAGAATTTTAGCTGGTCTAATTAAACTTTTTAAAAAAAGTAATAAATAAGGACATGAATGTTATACTCTATAAAACCCTGATCAGACCCATACTGACTTATGATTGTGAATGCTGGGTGCTAATGAAAGCAGAAGAAAAGAAGATCTCTGTTTTTGAAAGAAGGATACTAAGAAGGATTTATTTACTCATATGGAAAAATGGCACCTGGAGAATTAGACACCATCAAGTACTGTATGAAAAGCATAGATGTCCCAGCAGTGAAATTTATGCAGATCAGCAGGCTTCGTTGGGCTGATCATGCTAATCATGCTGATCTTGTGAAGTTGGGTTTGGATGGAAGTTAGTAGACAGTGATTAGTGGTATCAGCATCGAACCTTTGGTATCTTATAGCCTTCTATTAATATTATTATTAACGATGATGAAAATAAATAAAGAAGAATTTCATTTATATTAATAACAAGCAAGTCTTTGGCCATTGTATACACGTTAAAAAGTTGCTTTAAAAATTCTTTATTTTTATTTTAAAATGTTTTTATTTTTATTTTACAGAATGGAGGGCTGTCCCATGGGCTATTGATGATTTAAAATTAGGTCAAGTGAGTGGTGTGTCTCTTGACCCAAATGACAATGTCTATATTTTCCATCGAGGAGAAAGAAAGTGGGAATATTCTACATTTACAAATAAAAATGTGTACACTGGAAAAGCAAGTGGACCAATTAAGGATTCTGCTATTCTAATATTTGACAGTGAGGGAAGAACACTGAATAAGCTAGGAGCTAACATGTAACTTTATTTATTTTTTTATCTTTTATATTTTATTTAATATACAAACAAATAATTATTAAGAAGTTACTTCTCTTTTCTCATTTATAAAAAACAATCGATAGTTTCATTGATCATCATAAATAAATGATTTCCACCAATTATCTTGAAAAGAAAAACAAATTGTATTATTTCCATATTTTAAGGTTATGTATTTGTTAAGAATATTTCTAATTTTGACTTATTATGTCAATAAAATAGTTTTTCTACAACTAAAAACTATTATCTAAAGATTTAACTAGTGCTGTTAAGATTTTGAAATTTTTATGTCAGAGGGAATTTCTTTTAATGTATATACTTATGTTGATGACTAACATAGATCCATTGGTAAGCTTAAAATTATTAATACCTAATATATTTTACATGATAATATTTATTTAAATTTGATGTAAATAACAGTTTATATATTATCAATATGCATATTACTGAAGAAAAAAAAACCCTGTACCATTACAACCAATGAAGGGTCTTGGGTTCAGTACTGTTTATGGAAAGTACAATTTCTTAGTCAGTGGTTATACAAAGTGATGATTTGACTGATTTCACGCTCAGCCACCAGTTTTTCCCCCGTAATTAATTATTTAATTAAGGGTACCCACTTTATAGAGGCTGGGTGTGCCCCAGGAGGGTCTCCTGATCCTAGGGTTGCCCTACAGTTGATGAAACAGAATGCATAATTATTCTACCTTGAGCCAAGATTCGAACTCGGGATCTTGAGCATTAGAAGATCAGTGCCCCACCACTGAGCTACCTCACTCACAATGCATATTTCTGAAAATGATTGAAACAGAAGAATCCAAAGTAGGTTCTAAGATTTAAGAAGAATTATATTTCAATATTCCACTACTAAACATATAAAATAGTTGAATGAAAATATTTGTTTTTTATACTACTAAATGGTTACTTTGATTTTGTATAGATAACATTCAACTTATAGAAACCAATAATTACAAAATGAAAGTGCATAAATAGTACTATCTGCCTCTGGGACATGCTAGAAGTATGATCTTTTATTGTTTCCATTTATTTATTTACTTTTTTAAAATTCTTATATCAATGCTATTTATTTTATTTTGCAGGTTTTTTCTACCTCATGGCATTACTGTTGATAATGATTTTAATATTTGGGTTACCGATGTTGCCCTTCATCAAGTATTTAAATTGTCACCTAACTCAAGTAAAATTCTTCTAAAATTAGGTGAAGAATTTGTTCCCGGATCTGACTCGAAACATTTTTGTAAACCAACTTCAGTTGCAGTATTAGCAAATGGAGACTTTTTTGTTGCTGATGGTTATTGCAATTCTCGTATTATGAAATTTAATTCTGGAGGAAAAATGATCTTAGAATGGGGAAGAGGAACATCTGGTAAATTACATTAAATATTTTTAGTGTGGATTCTTATAGATTCTATGTATTTTAATTGTAATGAAAACTATTGTAGCAAAGTTTATCTATCATAGAAATTTCATTTGAATTCTGATTGAGAGTGAAAAAAAATATTACCATAAAATAGGTGCAGTTTTGGAGGTTTTTTATCCCCTCATCTTATTGGTAGGGCATATTAACACGGCTGTCTGTAATTTTTATAGACGATCTGTTGACATTTATTTCCATCTGTGGATTTTTTTTTTTACCAGTAACAGTGGTGGAATATATATACCATAGTTATCTCATTGAGAGATGGACTAATAAAACATGCCAAACAACCTTCTTATTGATAAAATAATTTTATCTTATCTTAATGTACACTGTCATCTAAAATTTCTTTAGTAATATCTACTTTTTTGAATTTCCGGGCCCAAAAAAATTTTTTTATGATGAAAGTAGTCATTTGAAAACAAAATTTTATTTTACATTAATAAAATAAGTTACACAGTTAGTAAAAGAAAAAAGTATTCTCTATATAATAAACTTAAAAGGAAAATCCACATTTTTGTAAAGTAAATTATGGGCATTTCCACCCCTGGCAGGAATCACATCCCTTAAATGTCTTTCCATTGATATAAAAAATAAATTAATAAAGTTCTGAGGAATGCTGTCCCACTCTTCAAGAACAGCTGTTTCCAGTTCCTCGAGGGTGCTAGGACACGGATTCCAACTTGTGCAAAGTCCTGAGAAAATTTCAATTCATTGGAGATTTGTACTGAAGAGTTTTTTTTTTTGGATCCGGAAATTATTAGTAACATAAAATTATGTTTAGAATGTTTTAATCTATTTAATTTTAATTTTTAAGTTTTATAGCAACTGGAATGTTAATCTTATTTCCTTCCATTTTTTACTTTATTCTTTTTTTTTTTTTTTTAAATAAATGAAAACTACAATTTAAAAATTGTAAATAAGAGAGTATAAATTCGTCTCTACATAGTTTTATATTATTTTTCAAGGTGTATACAATTTAGAGTGGTAGTTTATATAAAACAGTAAAAACATAAAGCCAATTATGTTGCTTGCACGTTTTTTTTTTTTTTGAAATGCTTTATGAAAAGAATTTCACCTTACCACATGCACAGTTGTCTTCCCTTAAGAACCTAGGGAACTACTTTATTATCATCCTCATAGACCACTCAGTCAGATGTTGCTTTTTTTGCTTGGTATTTTGACCACTAGGAATGTTTTAGAACCCACAGTAGTTGTTAAATCTTTTGCTCTGTATCCCACTCAATACTCATTAATATAAACCCATAATTTAAATATAAGTAATTTTAGTAAAAAAAAGTAATTAAATTTTAAAAGTAGTTTATTATCTTTTTAGTAATTTAAGGAAAATTAGGTATTTGTTTCCCATAAAATGATGGACCTTTTTTAATTTTTACTAGGTTATAGGCCTGATAACTATCAGTTGCGAGTACCTCATGCTTTAACTCTCATTGAAGATAAAGGTTTATTGTGTACTGCAGACAGAGAAAATGGAAGAATTATTTGTTATACAACTAAAGATGGGACTTATGCTACCCAATATTCTTCAGAATTTATGGGATCACGTCTTTTTTCAGTTGCATATTCATCAATATTTGGTAAATTCAATTATTAAATTTATATTTAAATTAATTGTTAAATATTATATGTTGAATAGTTTCTGCTTGGAGTTGGGCTGTAGTGTAAAGATTGTCTCTGTGTATTTTAAGTGGACAAAGTGAAGCAACTGTTTTGATTTTTTATATGATTAAGAACATTAGTTTCCAATGCAAGTATGCGAAATTTAAAGAAAAGTGGTGCAGTCGTGACGGTCTTAAGTCCAGGTAAATTAAATAATTTATTAAATTACTTGCTCCTCATCTATAATTTATAATTTCACTGGTAAATTCAATTTATCAATAAACTGTCCCCACTAAAAGTCCCTCACAGCGAATAAGCATTCCATTCAAGGGCATCAGCTGTGCTTAATTCATAAATACATTGCACAATGATCTTAGAAAAAATCAATGAAATTTAAAAAAAAATCGAAAAACTTGAAGTAATTAAGGAAAAAATAGGCAAAAACAATGAAAGCATCAAAACAGAAATATACCGTTTGACCATGATATAATATGAGAAGGAGTTGGTCAAATAAATACTAAATATTAAAATAAAGTATTTTTAATTATTACACCGACGTTTCGACCCACCTTGCAGGTCTTCATCAGGACGTGGCATGTGGCACTGCAGGAGGCAGTTGATAGACTGTCTATCAACTGGCAACTGGCAGTCTATCAACTGCCTCCTACAGTGCCACACGCCACGCCCTGATGAAGACCTGCAAGTTGGGTCGAAACGTCAGCATAATAATTAAAAATACTTTATATAATATTTATAAATATTTTAATATTTAGTATATATTTGACCACACCCCCTGACCAACTCCTTCTCATCTTCTATTTTTTAATTTAAAGTCCTACAACAATTTTGAAAAAAAGAAAGAAATATTTGATATATTTTATTTCCTAATAAGACTATTAGAACTAGAGAAAATCTTGAAAGAAATCAAATGGGATCTGATTGGTCTCTCAGAAATAAGAATAAACTTATAAAATAAATGAAATAAAAAATATGGACTGAACATCATAAGTATGAGAAAAACTAAAATAATGACAAATGCCATTGAAATGCTAATTTATGTAGTCAATAAGCAGCTGGAATATGTAGAACAATACATTTATTTGGGACAAACAATAGCATTCAATGAAGAAATGAATAAAAAGATCGACAGAAGGATAACATTTGGATGGTATAAATATTGGTCCCTTAAAACGATTTTTAAAAATGACTTAGCAATAGAACTTAAAACCAAAGTTTTGACTATATCTGTATATTCCATGATTCTCTATGGGGCACAAACTTGGACTTTCATAAAGAAACATGAACTCAGATAAAATGCTGTGCAGATGAAGCTTTTGAGGAGTCTAATGTCAATACGAATGAGAGAAAAAATGAAAAATAAAGATATTCTTCGTAAAGTAAATATTAAAAGCTTAAGGATTGAAGCTCGTCAGTTAAAGTGGAACTGGACTAGACACATGGTGATGTTCAAAGATGAAAGATGGTCCAAGGCATGCACCGTTTAGATCCCAAGAGAAAACAGCAGGAAAAAAAACCGGCTGCTTCTTAGGTCAAGGGACGAAATGACACAGTATGTAGGCAATAACTGGTGGCTTGTGGCTAGGGATATAACCATGTGAATAATATTTAGTTGCGCCGTTTTATTTTTTTTTTACTATTAATTACCATTGCTATATGGTTTTGTTTTATCTTATGCCTTAAATTGTTATTCTATGAAGAAAAATCCGATGTGTTCTGTTTTATTTTACATATTTTAAAATAAGTGGTAATATGTACTGACTTTTGTGAATGAATGAATGAATGAAAATAATTTTATTATTCTTTTCCCTTTTGTGGTGTTTATTGGTGAACTAAAGATATGTGAGTAGGGCGTTCAATCCTACGTCACACTCTCCAGCAAGTCTGGTGGGCCCCTACCTCCAGCAAGTCTGGATGTCCCCTCCCTCCAGCAAGTCTGGAGGGCCCCTCTCATTGTTGGTCAGCGAGTCCATCGGACTTAGCCGGGAGGAACTTCCAAGGAATTTCCACCGACCATCCCCACATCCGCCACCCGTGGGACGCTCCCCATACGTGGTAATGAGCCCGCGCGAGGAGGAACACCACACCAAACACCACAAATAGTCATGGATCTCCCTAAGGTAAAATGCTCATTATCCGGAGGTAAACTAGTCCCCCGTTCGGGTCTCCGGGTGGGGACTGCTTTAGGGGATTCATGGCGCAAGTTGAAATATAGGGATTTAAATATTGGTATGTGGAACGTAAGGAGTTTAAACACAGCAGGGGGGCTAAAATCAGTCGCGAATGAGGTAAATGGGTACAGTTTGGATGTTGTGACTCTGCAAGAGGTTCGCTGGCCAGGGGAGGGCTAGATGAGGGAAGGAAAGTACACTATTTGGTACGGAGGAAGCGGGAATCATTGTTTAGGTACCGGGTTTCTAATTAGGAGTAGATTACTATCCGCTTTGAGGGACGTACAATTCTTTAGTGATAGAATTTCGGTAGCTATATTTCAGGGAGGTTGGTTTAAAATCGCATTAATAAACATACATTGTACGACCAAAGACAGTGACGATGAAGTCAAAAGTGAATTTTACGATAAACTCGAATGGGTTTATGATAAACTACCGCGAAACTACATGAAAATAATTGTAGGTGACGCGAACGCAAAAGTAGGAAGGGAAGAAGTTTATATTCCGACGATTGGTAAAGAAAGTTTGCACGAATATAGTAATGATAATGGGATCCGTCTGATAAACTTTGCCATCTCGAAAAACCTGATAATTAAAAGTACGATGTTTAAACATAAGGATATTCATAAATATACTTGGACATCACCGGATTCGCAAACACGAAATCAAATCGATCATGTCTTGATACAACATAGCTGGCAAAGCAGTATAATTAATGTACGGTCTTATCGCGGAGCAGAATGTGGATTGGATCATGAATTAGTAATCGCGAAACTTCAGCAAAAACTTAATGTAAAAAAGAGAAAAGAAAACCGTTTCGATTTTGAGAATTTTAATTTGGAAAAATTAAAAAATCCATCAATTAGAACCCAATTCGAGTTAGATGTTAAGAATAGGTTTGAAGCTTTAGAGCTTCCTGACGAGGATATTGACAAGTTATGGGTAGAGATCAGGGATAATATTAAAGCGGTCGGTAACTCGTGTCTAGGAAAAAAAGAAAATAAGAATAACAAACCGTGTTTTGATAAAGATTGCTTAAACATGTGCGAAAAAAGAAAAGCCGCTAAATTAAAAGCTCTAAATAATCCTAGCGAAGACAATCTGGAATACTTCCAAACCTCAAAGAACGAAACGACAAAATTGCTCAAAAATAAAAAAAAGGAGTATCTTAAAAATAAAATAATTGAAATAGAAACTAATAGAATCGAAAATAACGTAAGAGACATGTACAAAGATATAAACAGATAACGAAAATGTGTAGGGCCCGTAACGTCTGGAATTAAGGATGATAATAACAATATTCTGACCGATCCGGTTGACATATTGAATAAGTTTAAGGACCACTTTGACAATATTTTAAATACGGGAAATTATGATCTGTGTCCTCCTTCTGAGTACCAGAGTGCTGAACCGTTGATAGAAGGACCAAGTAAAGAGGAAGTTGAAGTAGCTATCAGAAAATTAAAGTTCTTACTGAACTAATTAAGGCATGCGGGGAAGCTGGAGTTTCTAAAATACATCGGTTGGTTAAAAAGATCTGGGTGAAGGAGAAATTACCTGAGGAATGGAAAGAATCTATTCTTATTCCGATTCACAAAAAGGGCCCGAGGACGGATTGTAATAACTATCGAGGAATTTCACTCCTTCCGGTATGTTATGAAATATTCACTTAAATCTTAACCAGTCGAATCACAGAATACGCCGAGGAAATTATTGGAGACTACCAATGCGGATTTAGACGGAATCGTTCGACTATTGATCAAATATTTTCTTTACGGCAAATATTAGAGAAAAAATTGGAGTACAACGGTATTGTTCACCAGCTGTATATAGATTTTAAAAAGGCTTACGATTCTATTGACCGCCAGAAATTGTATGATATTCTAATCGAGCAGGGGATTCCAAAAAAACTAGTAAATCTAGTCAGGATGTGCTTGATTGAGACACTCAATAAAGTTAGAATCGGTAATAATCTGTTGGAAAAATTTGAGGTTCGCTCGGGTTTAAAACATGGGGATTCCCTTTTGCCTGTCCTGTTCAATTTGGCATTAGAACATGCCATTAGGGAGGTAATGCGTACCGAGAAAGGATTGGATCTGGGTGGGACAACATCTGTGCTGGGCTATGCTGATGTTCTGGTACTGTTAAGCGAAGACGTTGAAACTATAAAACTAAATACGACAACGTTAATGAAAGCCGGTAAAAAACTAGGTCTCGAAATAAAGGTAGATAAAACACAATATATGGTTAATAATAATAATAATAATAATAAGGCTTAACGAACCCGAAGGTTCGATGCCGACACCACCAATCGCTTGTTACACACCTCCCTCCACCGTTCGCCGTCCAAACCCAGTCCCTTCAGATCGGCTTTAATGCAATCTTCCCACCTTCGCTTCGGTCTACCCCTCGGACGCTTACCATTTGGCACAGCAAATATTAACCTTTTAGGAATTCTCTCGTTACTAAGCCCAACAACTTTACAAGTCCATTTGATTCGCCGCGATGAAATTACCTCAATTATATTACCCGGATACAGCTCACGCAATTCGGCGTTGTGTAACCGTCTGAACTCTCCGGTTAACTCATCCTTCTTCGGTCCGAATATTCTACGCAATACTTTATTTTCAAAAACCTTAAGACGCTGCTCATCCCTTAATGTAAGCGGCCAAGTTTCGCATCCATAAAGAACTGTAGGCAATATAATTGTTTTATAGATTCTAATTTTTAAGTTTCGGGACAAGAGGCGCGAACTAAGTAGTTTTGTCACAGAAAAATAACAAGCATTC